AAGATAGGAACAGCTTTAGAGGACATAGAGTTCCTCTGCAAGGAAGGATGATGCATTCCTCAGCCATGACCTATCTAGAAAGATAGCTTGGTATATACCAGCCAAAAGAGATGCATGGTTCTGTATCCTGCATGGCTGGATGGAGTTTCACGCAAAATCAGAGTTGGTGTTCTTATTATAGTTTAAAAAGAAGTAATGAAAAAGTAGTTGACCAGATACAGACCCAACAGCACAAGTAGAGCTCTGCTAGTAGACGGATCCTGTATGGCCAGTGTGCAGGGTAAGAGCATTAGACGTTGTTCATCATTGCTGTCGGTGATTGAATAGCATTGGCTGCCAACCTTGTGGCTGTGCCTTTCCAAGCAGCCAGTGGAAGAGAGATTCTCCAACCAAACAGGGCTCTCCATCCAGCCTTGTGCAACCTACCACTGAGTTCCTACCTGGAATTCATAGGATTACATTGTCGCAGATTAGCACGACAAGAGTGGCTTTACAGTGGTGGAAATCGGAGTGAGAGAAGAGTGAGAGGAGTTGCTCATCGGCCGATCGCTGCCGATACGGCGAACGACCGAAAACTGGAATAAACGGAAGACCGATTCGAGTGGAACACCTGAGTGGATCCTTACCAAGTGAAGGGTTATCTACAAGCCACGGTGACTGGTTGCTTGTGGATCGGCCCAGGTGTGGAGATCGGCGAGTGGAAACATCGACCTACCCACCAACAAGGAAATTCCTGACCAACGCAACCAAATCGACGACCGAAAAAATGGAATCGGACCGATTGAACTCAAACAAGTGGTCCACCTACTAACCTGAGGGTGCTTGAGACGAACACCAGCCAGTTCCTTGTTAATCGGCATTCGTTCGAGCGGCCGATAGCGGAATACGAGCGCCATTGTCGATCCTTTCCTTTTCCTACGGAATCCCTCATGTACTGTCATTGGCCTCCGGAGGCTACTACTGCCGGCTGAAAAGGGAACGTACTCACTACGGACTCCAACAAACCGTCGTCTAATGTTCACACGGTACTTCACAAGAACCGGACCAGAACCTCTGTTCCGAAAGCGGCCGTCCGAAGATTCCGAGTTGCCATCACATTTTCCTGGGAATTCCGAACTCGAAGAACGTCCGTCTGAAGATACCTTGTTGACAAGGTGTCGTTAGGTAACTCCAAACACCACGGAGACACCGTCTGACTGTACCGAGAGGAATCCAAGGTTACAGTGTGTCAAGCAACTTTGCTTTAGTCATTGACCATGCAGTTGCAAGCCTTCAGGTCTCCATTTGGATTTTTTTTTTTTTCGTCAACAGTGTTTGTTCAAGCACCACTACAACAACACTTCTACACCCACACTCAGCCAGCGCACCAACATCAATCATTATGGTGTCGGCAAGAAGAAAGAAGGCAACCAACAACAGGATCCAGCCTTGACCATTGGTGTTACACCACCCCCAGCATCTAGCAATAGCAATGGTAACATCAACAGGTCCACCACTGCAGGACCTCCACATCCAGTTACATCGCATGGAAGGACACCTGTGGATCCCCCCTGTAGTCAATCCAGCTACAGGCCTCCCAGTTTGACTCCTTCCCCCCAGCCACCATATGGTGTTACCCTTTCAATGATCAGCCACCAACTGGCAATAGCATTGAAGAAAATGAACCAAATGAACAAAGCTTCCTTGCCCCCACCACAAGGCCACAACAATACCAATCAGCTTGGTTTATCCCATCCACCTTATTACTCCACTCCCTGGCACACCTGGTTTATCACACAAAGCCTAGCGCCTGAGATTCAAGGCTAGGAGGACCGATTCAGAACAGGCAGTTTGGAACAGAGTTTGTTGGGTGATGTTGAGGACCCTCTTGGTCATCCATCCCAACCCAAAGTTGCCATGGATGTTGCCACTTCCCCTGCTGGAGGTGGATCCCATCACCAAGTATGGGCCCTCAATGGGGAGGTATATCCCCAACCAACACCAATCATACCATCACATCACGGCATCCCACCAACACCCCACTCTGTGAGATACCCAACTACACAACTGATGTCTTCAGTCCCTACACGGCATGTGTCTTCAGCAGCCTATCAGCCCATACCTATTAGGCCCACATCATCCAAGACACCAGTACACTCAGCCATCCCTCCGGTCGGCCAACCTACTGATCAACCGGAGAAGCCAAGAAGGAAGTCAGCCTTCATTCCCACCCCTGATGGCAATGGTGGTCTTCCAAGTCTCAGAGGTGGTGGAGAAGGTGGCAACACAGGCCTTCCAGGCAAGCCCTTTCGTGCCAAGCCGGATGCCACGGCCTACCCTACCCTCAAATCCAACAAGGACTTCGACCAGTGGTATGAGTCCTTTATCACTATGGCTAGAGGTCAAGGGTTTTATAAGATCTTTGATGCCGACTACGTCCCAAGCAGCACCGAGTCCATGGATGAACTCATACGAATGAATCATTGGTTCTACGCTGTTTTCCAGAAGACAGTGCAGACCACCAATGGAAAGGTAATCGTGAGGTCCCACTTCCATGACTCTGACTGCTTTGCCATTCTCGTTGAGCTTGTCCAGGACGCTCACTTGTCAGTAGCAGGTTCTCTGGATCATGTGGAGACACTCACATGGCTGACTAGTGTGCAATACAGCCCAGAGGAGCAAGGTTCCGCAGTGGACTTCATTGTCAAGTTTGACACAGTTGTTACCCGATACAATGATGGCCAAGGAGACTCCAGTGATAGGCTCACCGATGGTATACAGAAGCTGTTCTTACGGCGGGCCTTCACCGGTGTCCCACCTTGAATCGACATTTCTGCAACGTGAACATGAGGGAGTATGTTGCGAGGGACATCATGCTTCGTTTACATACGACGGGTACAAGGAGGTGCTACTGAATGCTGCCACCTTCTTTGACATCAACCGAAGAGACGATGATTCACGGCTAGCCAACATCGCTGACATTGGCAAAACAGGACATCAGGGTGATGGGGAGCAGGGTAATATCCCACGCCTTCCCGACAATGTCTGGTCTAGCTATCAGCAATGGACAGCAAGCTTTGGTACAGCTCTCCCGCTGACAAGAAGAGTCTTGGGAAAGCACACCATCGTCAGCCCGGATGTCTGACCTGGTTGATCCAAAGAGCGAAGCTGACCCAGCAGTCGGGGACGCCTCAGATCCTCCAGATGGCAATACGGTGCCTGCAGCCTCCACGGGCAGGTGCAGGACCAAGGCGGATTTTCGCCGGGGCAACTAGTGTTTGTGTCGCACTGGTTGAGCCCAAGGTACCCAGGCACCGGCCATGGCTGCGGGGTAGCATGCCACCCTCATAGGGGCTACCTTCCGCAGGACATGGCCCAGTATGACAAGTGTTTGTGCTAAACTTGTCATCTCCAGGATAGTATTCCAAGTAGCAACGTTTTGTGAAAACATGTTTTGGTGACTCCCACCCTCCCGCCCTGATGGCACTCCCTTCACTTTCGGGTGATGGAGAGAACTTACACTGTGTCACCCTCAGCAAAGGTGAAGCAGTCGGGCCGGAGCAACATCCACCCAAGCTGATGGTTGTGGGATGAGCCACTGCCATGTTATGTGACAGGACCTGCACGGGTCATACCCAAGCAAGCACCAAGTTAGTCGTGTCTCTTGACGGGATTCTTTTGAACCCATGTAAGGATATGGTAAACTTGAGGAGACGTCTTCGAGGTGTTGCCTTTAGCTGAGGCAATATCTGATGATAGGACAACAAGTCCCACCTCATAGGATGACACCTCGTCACCTAACTACCCAGTTGAGGCTCCAGATGAACAGTTATGGCCCAGATTGTTCTCACTGGCCCTTATGGGGAGATAGACAGATACCTCCTAAGCAAATGAGCTGTGTTGCAAGTATGGGGAGACCAGTTGAGATCCCAATTGACGGTCAAATGGACCAATGCCAAATGCACCCTTTCTCTCCTGAACACGACTGGAGGTTTGTTCACAAGCCCATGTGATGGCCCTCCCAATGTGCCAGGTGGTACTCAGCCATGGACACCTTGATGCATTCCAGAGGGTTGGTACCCCCTGAGGTATGCGACCAAAGTCCACACTGAGCAGACAGATGCTCCCAGTTCATGGAAGTATCGAGCGGTCTGATGGTGACACAGCTCATTGTACTGAAAGAGTGTACAGATGCAGCAGCGATCTTTCCACCAGACTGAGCCAGCACAGCTGCGCCGCACCCATAATATGGCTCCTATGGCATAATCTCATCGCAAACCACCTCCGGTGTGAACCCTCATGCTTGGATGGACTGCGAAAGAACCATCCACATACCATTTCAATATGCCGCTTCCGTCGGCTTTGAGAACTAATGGTAGTTTTCTAGTACGCCTAATGTACTGCATGAGGTGGACTAGTTTATCCCAATCCTGCCTATCCGGTTCCTTGACTCTAGTCGTGAGGAACGAGATGGTCGTACCTGTGTCTGGTCGGGCTCTCTTCATAGTGAACAGCACCTTAGCCACCAGGCTGTGAAAGTTGTCTGCTTTGCTCGTTGGGAGCTTCTTGCAGGATTCGTCTACTGTGAATAGGTCTTTCGGGGCTGCACTACTTCTAGTCTTCGTGCCCCCTTTCTCTGGCGATGCCTTCTCGAAGGCTTCCAGGGTTTCAGCAACGTACTTGAACATTGACACATTGCATTGACCCTTCGTCGTGAAGTCTATGGTCATGCCGAGATACGTGTGGACCTTTCCGCGGCTCACTGTCATCTCTCCAGTGCCGTCCTCGAATATGCTTTCATATTCATCACGAAGCACTTGGATCAGCTGGTCGTTAACCTTCGAGTCCTTGTGGCTAAGCTTACAGTCGTCTACATGCCAGCAGACTGTCTGTTGCTTGCCGTGTACCATTCTGTTGGCTACACATGGGTCGTAAGGATTAATCTTAAATCCGTTCCGGAGCATCGTCTTCCGGAACTTACGGTAGTATAGTAGGCTAGCTACCATGGTACCGCAGATGGCATTCAAGCATTGCAGCAGCAACGGCTTGTTGCCTTTCTTATCCGTTGTCATGAACGGTTTGTAGACATCTGGGGCTATTTCACACAGCATGTCTACTAGTACTCCTCTTACTCTAATGATTACCATATCTTTTTCATCCTCGACTCGTGTCTGGATGAAGGCGTTCGGGATGTTAATGACTGCCACGTCCCTTTCCTCTTCAGCGTCGATTGTGCAGGAGAGTAGAACTGCTTCTGTCGACACTGTTGGCGAGCTTGCGTCTTCCTTGGAGATGAAGTCACGCTGTTTGTTGCCTCCGGCAACCGCTCGGCCTTTGATCTTCCCATTCCTTTTCAACTTTAGGAACAGGTGTGGCTCTAGGATACTCTTGCCTTCCTTTTCGCTGAGTTCTTCCATTTTCTTAGGACGGAAGGTGTCCCTGAGATGTAACTGTTTCATCTCGGCATAGGCTGCATCATGCGCCTTGTCCTTCCACTCCTTGAGTCCAGCCTTCAATGACAACTGTGTCATGATGGCTGCTACCACATCAGGTTCTTGCTCTAGCTGTGTGTAGAACATGTGTGCATCTGGGTGCATTGGTCGTCTCATACTTCTTTCCAGAGAAGCTAGGAATATACGATTCCTTTGCTTGTGTCCTCACCCTACTGGACCTGCGCACTCCTGGCGTCTGCTCAGGTGCCATTTGTGCTGGAGCGCCCACTCCTGGGGTCTAGACCCCAGACCAACAGCCCATGGAACAGCTTGTTCCATGGGCTGTTGGTCTGTTGTAGGTTCCGGTTCCTCTACCGTCTCAATGATAGGCTGATTGGCCGGTTCGACGGTCGGTTCGACGGTCGGTTTGACGAAATTTTACTGAACCATTCATTATCAGTGGAAGTCTTCGCTTCGATCCATAGAAGAAGTCCTGGTGGCTCCTTGAAACGAAACAGTATAGAGCTATCGAACGGGCTGTTAGTTGCTCTAAGCTCTCTAGTTTACTTGCTGTTGAGAACTACTGAAAAAGTGGGTGGTCAACTGCTACGAGTTCACTCTCAGTCAAGCTTCTCGTGTTCAACTTCTGTTTCGTCGAAGTCGATAATGGGTAACCGGTGCCCATGGTCAAACCACCTCCGGTATGACCCCTCATGTTTGGATGGACTGCGAAAGAACCATCAACATACCATTTCAATATGCCGCTTCCGTCGGCTTTGAGAACTAATGGTAGTTTTCTAGTACGTCTAATGTACTGCATGAGGTGGACTAGTTTATCCCAATCTTGCCTATCTGGTTCCTTGACTCTAGTCGTGAGGAACGATATCGCCGTACCTGTGTCTGGTCGGGCTCTCTTCATAGTGAACAGCACCTTAGCCACCAGGCTGTGAAAGTTGTCTGCTTTGCTCGTTGGGAGCTTCTTGCAGGATTCGTCTACTGTGAATAGGTCTTTCGGGGCTGCACTACTTCTAGTCTTCGTGCCCCCTTTCTCTGGCGATGCCTTCTCGAAGGCTTCCAGGATTTCATCAACGTACTTGTACATTGATACATTGCATTGACCCTTCGTCGTGAAGTCTATGGTCATGCCAAGATACGTGTGGACCTTTCCGCGGCTCACCGTCATCTCTCCAGTGCTGTCCTCGAATACGCTTTCGTATTCATCATGAAGTACTTGGATCAGCTGGTCGTTAACCTTCGAGTCCTTGTGGCTAAGCTTACAGTCGTCTACATGCCAGCAGACGGTTTGTTGCTTGCCGTGCACCATTCTGTTGGCTACACATGGGTCGTAAGGATTAATCTTAAATCCGTTCCGGAGCATCGTCTTCCGGAACTTACGGTAGTATAGTAGGCTAGCTACCAGCCATGGTACCGTAGATGGCATTCAAGCATTGCAGCAGCAACGGCTTGTTGCCTTTCTTATCCGTTGTCATGAACGGTTTGTAGACATCTGGGGCTATTTCACACAGCATGTCTACTAATACTCCTCTTACTCTAATGATTACCATATCTTTTTCATCCTCGACTCGTGTCTGGATGAAGGCGTTCGGGATGTCAATTACTGCCACATCCCTTTCCTCTTCAGCGTCGATTATGCAGGAGAGTAGCACTGCTTCTGTCGACACTGTTGGCGAGCTTGCGTCTTCCTTGGAGATGAAGTCACGCTGTTTGTTGCCTCCTGCAACCGCTCGGCCTTTGATCTTCCCGTTCCTTTTCAACTTTAGGAACAGGTGTGACTCTAGGATACTCTTGCGTTCCATATCGCTGAGTTCTTCCATTTTCTTCGGACGGAAGGTATCCCTGAGATATGTAACTGTTTCATCTCGGCAAAGGCTGCATCGTGCGCTTTGTCCTTCCACTCCTTGAGTCCAGCCTTCAATGACAATTGTGTCATGATGGCTGCTACCACATCAGGTTCTTCGTCTACCCGTGTGTAGAACATGTGTGCATCTGGGTGCAAGACACGTTCAGTTGTATGGACGTTTGGCGTCTCATACTTCTTTCCATCGAAGCTGGGAATATAAGATTCCTTTGCTTGTGTCCTCACTCTACTAGACCTGTGCACTCCTGGCGTCTGCTCAGGTGCCGCTTGGGTTTCAACGCCCACTCCTGGGATCTGTTCCAGGGGCTGTTGGTCCGTAGTGGGTTCCGGTTCCTCTACCGTCTCAACGATAGGTTGGGTAACCGGTTCCGTTTCCGTTTCCATTTTCGGTTCAACGCCTATCGATTCTTCGTCGTCGTTGACGTTGTGATCGTCGGGATCTTCCATTTCGTCAATGGTTTCAGCATCCGCGTCCAGGTCCTCATCGGTTTGGATCATTGGTAGTGGGGGTGCGTCATTGCTCTCTTCCCCTTCCACTCCTGTGATCTCGACATCACCTATGGGTCTATTTTTTCGATCAGTAAAAACGAGTAGTTTAGGCTGATCTTTTCCTAATAGATTGACTCTAGCTATCACTGTGTCGGGCATTGGGATCTTGTCCCACGAATGCCTAGTAATTTTCTTGCCAGAGCGGAGGCTCATAAACTTGTAACCTCCTTGTTTGTTTCTGCTCGTTCCCATACAGATGGCCGCTTTCGTGCATCCAACCATGCTGTTACGGGGCGAGTCTTCCTCATGCACCTGGCAGTAATCTCCGAACTTCAGGCTCTGGTGCTTTTTATAGTCCAGGGACTCTCCTTTCATTATCATTCGGGGGCTCGTTGTCTCGCTGATCCCCACTTTGCTTGTGAAGTACGTCAACTGTTTGATGACTTGTAACACCAAGTTGACGGTCAAGATCTTTGGCATGCGTGTAAACGGTAGGCTATGCCGGACAGCTCGTGTCCTTTCCTTGACTACCCGGATTCTCCGTTCGATCTCGGGTACGTGCTCATTAGCACCGGTAGCGTTGACTACCCGGCATTGCCATGATTGTGTTGGACAGAGGTTCAAACTAATTGTCCACGTGAACGGTCGTGATTTTAAAAACATGAGCTTTGTAAAATCGATAGACCTCCTTAAATCCTTCTAGGATGGTCTCTAGCTTCCTGTTGGGCAGGTGCCTAGCTGTTGTAAAATCTATTTTACGGCTTAGAGTTAACAGGAATGGAATTCCTGCCACAAAGAAGATGTCCATCGTCAGGAACACATCCTTGTGTAATTGCAAAAAGTCTCTCGGTACTTTCATTGCATTGCCTGCCACTGCATTCGGTTTCTTGCGAGTGGTCTTGCCTTTTAGCGCATCAATATCCTTGCCCTATATTGCTTGTGCCGTGCCAATGTCTTCAACGGTCACTGCATGGGCAATTTGCGATTAGATTGCTCATGATCGCCCATCGAAAGTCTTTAATCCATGGGTAAACGAGTTGCTTGTACAACAGCCTCGCCCTTGATGCGGCTTTAACTTGTCGTTTGCTGAAGCCATCCTTATTTTCGGCAGTGTTCACAAGTACCTTCCCTTGTTTCCTAGGGTCATGAACGTGTAGTCCTTCACTGTTCATTTCATATACTACGTCCGGTAGGCCTGGTCTCTTTCGGACAGTCATAGACGATGTCGCAATTCTTGCGGACACTCTTAACAGAAAGGATGTTTGTGATTCCTCTTTCATCAAACCATACTCTCTGCTTGTGGCCGGGTATTTTGGCTGTATGCCGTACCTTCAGCTTGCCTCGGGTACTCTTCACTGTGATAGGATGATCGGCTTTCCTAATGTCGGTAACCATGTCTCTATTACAGAATAAATCCAACGTGGACTGACTGTCCAGTAGCTGGACCTCTCTCATGTCTTTGTCATCCAGTCCTTTTGTATGGGCGACTATACCGTGCTTGGTTCTGTTTGCGTGCTTCTTCGTTCCGTCCGCGAACAATGTTACGAACGTAAAATGGCTTTGCTTCGATTGCTCTGAGTCTGAATCCGTCATGTCAGAGTCAGCTTCATCTTGTTCTTCCTGCAGGGTTGTCAGTGTCCACTGCAGTTTGCCGAGTGTAGCTAAGGTCTTCTTTTGGCTGCTACTCGAGCTTTTCTTGCTTGACTTGCTACGCTTGCTCGACTTGCTTTGTTTTGACTTGTCATCATCATCTTTATCTTTATCTTTGTTTGGACAACGTGAGGCTGGATGCCCTGTCCTGTGGCAGCTATAGCATTCTTTGTCTTTCCATAATTCACTGTCAAAGGCTGCATTTCCGCGGACTCTTCCTCTGCCACCACTCCGTCCTCTCCCGCCTTGTGCTGTCTCAGCAACGGAGCTTCCGTGGGAAGTGGAGTGTCGTGGGGTGTTACTCTTGGTGTGTTTGTCCAAGAGCTGTAATAGGCCATGGATAGAATGGGGATAGTTGTCAGTGCCTTTGGCAAAGTCGTCCCTTCGGTTCTGTTTAAGTTTGGTGTGCTCGGATGAAATATGTGTTAAGAAGATGTAGCTATAGTACCGTTCTTCAGCGTACTTCATGACTTTCTTTTGTTCCTCGGCTCCGAGGTCGGCGTATTCTGTGTCGTCATAGAGTAGTTCAGCCGTATGCAGCAGGGCTGCGTCGTGTACCTTGTTAATACCCACGGATTTTGCAATGTCCCATATCCATTCGAGCTGTTTCTCGTCAAGCTCGTTGTTGCTTACCGCAGCGGTAGAGTCAATAAGGTGGGCTAGATTCTGGGACTTGAGCGTGTTGCTCAAGGAATTGCTTCTTCCACTTGATGTAGGAGGCTTCATTGCGAAACTCCTTGAACTCTGATCGAACGGGCTGGTTGTTCTTGTCCCATAGCGTAATAGCATGCTCTGCGCCTATTTCGTGGAATTACTCCTCTTCATTTGTTGCCATGGTACATTTTCAATGTGGGGTTGGAAGAGGCCGGCTCGGAAGGCATCGATTGCCGTCTGAGTCAACTGGTGTGGTGATGCGTACTGTCGATTTCTTGACGAAAGAGCAGTGACGGTAGAGCTGTACGGAAGCGAGTAGCAGCTTCTTCTTGGTGAGAGAAACTGGTCTTGGGTTTCTGTGAGTGTCAGGTGGTGCTTCTAGCGCCATGATTATATCTTTGGCTGGTGAGTAGAAGAAGATCGATCCATCCGTTGATGCCTTGTCGAGCCAGAGTAAGACGCAGGATGGACTGCTGATACTCAGTGGTAGAGGCTCTTTCCAACATCGGTTGCAAAGGACGTGCTTTAGCTTTGCTCATTCATCGGCGTGGGCCCTTTTCTCGAAGGTGGTGGCAGTGCATATCTGTGACTAGTTAATCTGCTAACGTGAGGTTATAAATACTATTCAAATAGGGGGGTCTCATAGAGGTAGGACGATATCAACAGCAACATTTGAGACGAATGCAAGGGAAATGCAATGTTCGCTTCTTAGTAATTCATAATTTGTGAGCCTTGTTTGATGTGACCAATAAAGCTGCGATCGCTAAAGCTGCTTTGTAGCGTGTTAGATCAATGCATTGCATGGGTAGTTGATCTCAATACATACAGAAGTCAACGTGGAATCTGCGTAAAATGGTTCGTCAACAGGTGGTTTCGTTCCTGTTGGTTACTCCGATCGTTTCTTTTCTTTCGAGGAGCTCTTTGATTGAGATCATGATGAGGAAGGATCTGAAGGCTTACGTGGCGGACGATAACACTGATAAAGAGGCAGCATTGAAAGCATTGAAGGAAAGTGCTGTGGGGCAGGCAGAGGTTAAGGAAGGCTACAAGATACTGGAGGAACATGCCCTCAGACTTGCTACGGAGCATTGCAGGTCAATGGGCAGGGATGTGCCAAAGTGGCATGTTTCAATGGATACATCCTACCTCCATTCTAAGACGTTTGTCTTACCAAGAACCTGCCAGCACTATCACATTGACATCCGTGCCCAGGACATCAAAACCGATCTTCTGGATAAAGACGTCTATGTCTTCAGTGTTTTTATGCCATTGCAGGAGCACGGGATGTTCCTAAAACTTATCACCAACCCACAGTTTGGTAATGCTGATGACAAGATGGCTTTCATACAGCATGGGAGCTATCTAATGCGACAGCCTGGCATTCACGTAGCTTCACAAGTCTAAAGGGCAACCTAAGGGCGCAAATTTATGTTTGCCTGACACCTGAAGGAATGAGTAGAAGGCCAGCAGTCCTGTCCAGTTATCTGAACGATACGATCTACCAGGGTGATTCGGATGGAGTTCTGCTCCTTGATGAGCGTGGCAGGAGACCCCATGTTTGGGATGGTGCAGAGGCAGAGGTCGATGAGAAAGGTGAGGTCAAGGTCCAGGGTTTCCCGAAAAGTAGCATTGTCCTTTCGCATTCCGGTACAGATCCAGAGGATGCAATTCTTCATGAATCAGAGAGTACTATATCCAAGGTTTTGATGAATTTGAATGACGTCCTTCTCTTGTAGCTCTCTAAAGAAATGTTATAGTGCCTGTTATTAATTGCATCTGTTTTGTATTACTGCTTGTTAGGTATTAGCCTTTAGTGCCAATGCCTGACTAGTCCCACACCCCGATGTGGGGGTGGTTTTGTCAATTTGGGGGTGCGTTGGATATTTTGTTACTGTTTGTTCGGGGTCCCCTTGTTTGTTCCTCCTTTCGAATGGATTTTGGTGGGCTGGCTGGCGCGCATGATGTTTCACATTGTGAGCGGATGTTTCATCAGCCTACGATTCAAACATGGAACCATATGTTTTCTATCATTTTTCGAAGCCAAACATCCCACATCAATTCGAAACATCCATTTCCAAGTCAAACATGCTACTACAACAGCGAAACATTGAACCCTACTAAAAAAGCCCATATGATTTTTCAGATGACGTGTTCTCATAAACAGCTATTTGGCTTCCGTGAAATGATAAGATCTCAGCGTGATGACTCATGATGCATGGCTCATTCTACTCACGGATACTCTGAGTCGTGAGAGGAACCGTAACACTTTCAAGGGTCTGGATGCTTTGTCGAGGTCTTCTAACATTGTGTGTCTGATTTCTGCGATGATGTCCCATTCAGAACCTAGGGTGGTGGTGTGATATATTTTGTGATATGTTGTATGGTTGGTGTCTACTTCTCCGATGCATTTGTTTTCATAATAATGTGTCCATGTTCTTCTCTGTTCTGCTAGTGGTATAGTCTAGTCTCCCAGTGGTTTCTTGAGGTTCAGGTTTCTCCAATGACAGAGTAAGTTGAGGGCTTGTTTCCATGCTTTCCATGCCTTTGCATTAGGTCGTCCTTTGGTTAACTGGAATGCCTAGCCTCACAAGACAGTCTAGAAGCAATTGTAAATCAGTAAATGTTCTCGAAGCATTGGCATCGTCAGGGGATTGATTGAAAATTGTCAAAATCATAAATGTTATGTATAATTATTGAAATTAAGTCAAAGTGTCATTTTGGAAATGAACGACTTTGTTATTTTCTGTCCAGCACTTCTCTGCATTCCCAACAGCAGTTGCATACATTCCACACACCAGTTGCGAACTTGGTTTTTCTGTTTTCTCCCCAAACACAATTTCAACAAGCGCTCGAAGATTAGAAAGGAATCGGAATGAATAGCACTCTGTTGGGTCCAAACATGTTTCATAGGAAATCCAATTTGAACAGTCCTCTGCATTGAAATATTCGCTACAGAGTGGTCGGACCTCCAGTTCATCCTCTGAATCACTCGAGGAGTCGGTGCTAGAGGAGTTGCTGCTAGAGGAGTTGCTGCTTGATGAATCGGTATCATTCTTGGCTTCAATGAACTTGCCCAGTATCCATGGTATCTGTTCGCATGCAAGCATCATGATGCTAAGCCTCTCAGTACCAGCAGGGCAAGGTAAACAGTTCCCAAAGTACTCCTTCACAAAGAGGCCATCAAAGGATCCATGTACAACTTTTTCGCCATCCATGAAGAGGCCAAATTGCCCAGGGGCTTGCATGCCACGCCTCTTCATGTTGTACATTGTGAACAGGTAGCAAGAATCAGCCGGGATGCAAACTTCCTCAACAATTGTTGCAAAGGCATATTCCTCGGGGTATGATTCTTGCTCAAAGAGAATCACACCAGTAACATTGTCCATAAGATTCCAAACAAAATCTCTGGGGAGCCTATCAAGCGTCAGCGATAGGCGTAGGAGTGACATGCCAGTGGGGCACTCCTTTGATCCAGGTAGTGAGTAAACTGTGGTGACTCCGCCAATGCCATCTTGAGGAGCTCCGACTGCCAGCTCCCTTCCGCTCGAAGACATGGAAACTGGGTAATGGGTCAATGGAAAAGGATTACTCACGTCATTCCAAGATTCAGCTTCAGATTGCCACTCAAAAACTCTAACAAGTGTACCAACCCTGAAGGCGATCATTGATCCATCACCTGAAAGTGACAAGGCATTGTTTACATAAGGGCGCTCACTGTCAATGCAGTCTGTGATATTTGTTGTGGGGGAAACCCGAGGCACCCACTCCCCTTCATCATTGAGTGCTTGGATATGAAGCTGTCGGTCCGAACACACTGGCAGGCCATAGCCAAGAACATTCCCATCTTGACTCCATGCCAGTGACATAGACATGCGAATATTTTTCACATGAGACTCAAACCGAAACTCAGTTTCAACATCATAGTCACCAGTTAACTCATCCCAGGCCATGACAACAATGTATTCATCAATAACAACGGGGAAGTTTGTGATTGGGTGTATTCCTTTGACCTGGGATTGCACAGCAATTCTGCTACCATCTCCACTCAATGACAAGGAATGGACATCAGCCAGGGTATCATTTCTTGTAACATTTAAGTCTGCTCGAAACTCAAATAATCCTTCTTGCGCCTCATAAACCCGAATCGCTTTGGGAGCCTGACCAGATACAAATAAGGATGTTGCAAGAACTGTACCATCGTCGGACAAAGCAAAGTCATAAACCAGTGGGATCTCTTGTGAAAGTGTACAACCATGAAAGTTGCATCTGTAGATTCGAAGAGTTCGATGGCCGTCTTTGACAGCAACTGTAAGGGGAGCTCTGAAGCTTGGGTTGTTGACCACATTAAAGGGGCCAGATGAGAGACCCAATACCCCTCGTCTAAGAAGCCTCGAATGACCAAACACACGAATCAAGTAGAAGGGTGGTCGTCAATTCTAAATAAATACGCAGATTTTGAGTGCACCGTGAAAATCATGACCTAATGCTTCTAATTATACTGATTCACATTGTCGGGAAAAATGTGTGCCAACCAAACAGCTGCGCCAGGTTGTTCAATTTCTTGAGCACAATGTGAATCAGGACAAACTTGTCATAAAGCACATCACGAACGTAGGCAAAAAGACCGAGAGGACCTGATGGAGCAATTCTGATGGAGTAGCACCGTGTATTCCTCTAGTGCTAATGGGACTGAATCGAAGTTTGTATGGTACAATTTTGGATGCAATCTGTGAAATATTCTTCAAAGCGTCAAGATATTGAAGATCACACAATGGATTTAACTGTGCACAGTCTTCCACGGAAACGAGCTTCTGGATTGTCACTCTCTTCGTTAGGACAGTGGCAGTACCGGTCACAAATGACTTCACACCCTTTCCATAGTGTGTTGTAGGCACCACAAAGTGTATCGCCTCTTTGTTGTCACATTTCACAAAGGCGATATAGGGGACAAACTACAGATCCTTCCAAGTCCTGCCCTTATATCGCAAATACCCAGACGAAACCACGCTTCTGAACATCAACCAAACTCTCTAGAATCACATCCAACATGGCATGAAAATCAGCTGGCTTGCCTTGATCATCAGCACCTTTTTGCTTTCTTCCTCGTCGTCGTATTTTTCAATGCCGTTCATACGTACTAGTATCTTGCTGGGCAGCAACCTGACTGATTGCTTCGATTTTCCCCCCTTGCCTTTGCTTTCTTGGTGGAGGACAACAAAACCCAACACTCTACCAGGCCTGGTCTTGATCTCTTGTACTTCCGTGTGTGAATAACCAAGAGCCAATCTTAACAGCATGACAGGCATGCTCTTCATAGCTCCAGTGTCGTGCACCAACAATGTACAATACAATCGTAGAACAAACACGTTTCTTATTCCTTTCTTGTAGGTCCTGACTCTTCCCGATATCCTTTTCCGGTGTTCAAATCTGCATAGGAACCAATTGTTTCCGGGGGCTCAGACTTGTTGGATCATTGTCGAAAAAAAAATAATCATAATCTGTTACTCGTGGATACCGTAAGCAGTGACTCGATGACACCCCATGCATCATGAACAAACAAGCTCAAGATTCTGTTGACTGTGTGGTAGAAGCAAGGATTTTTTGGTGGCAAATCGATCGTCAATGTTGTAACGTTTCTTGATCACTTTATGAGACTTCCCTCGTCAATATGATTCCATTTTTGTCGACATTTTGTAGTGTTTCATTTGCTTCCAGATTCCATTGCTCCGGTGGTTACCATAACATAAGCTCGTCTAGGTATCCATGGCGCCTTCTTCCTCTTCAAGATGTCTAATAGCTGGATACCACAATCTGCTCACTTGGTAAGGAATGGCAGGCCATTGGTCGCTTGTTCTTTACAATATGATTTGAACTTTGCTCTCTGCTTGTGTTTGATGTCTTGGTTTAGAACACCATCGTTGTTCCAATCATCATCTCCAGCGACTACATTGTTCAAGCCCCTCACCTCCTTCCATATTCGGCAGAATCAATGTCCTTGTCAAGCTTCCTTCGGATAGGTCACTATCACCAGCCATATCAGTGGAAAATCGTTGTTGTTGTCTGGATTTGCCAAGCTGCTGCATTTCTTCGTCTTCATTGTTTGCCAACCTTCTGGTCTGCTGGGCTTGGTTGGTTTCTCTCTGTGTGTTGCCGAGGCGAGAACCGACTGCGGCTGCATGTATGTGTTATCTGTTGCTAGTGTTTCAAAAAGGCAACTGGCATCCTCTTTTTAAGCCGTGCGCCTTTTGATAGCTTCAGCCATTGTTGTTGTTTGCCATAGTCTTGGTTGAGCCGGGATCCTTGGTTGCTGGCTTTCGCCGGAGATTTTCGCCTTTCTTCGAAGATTCATGACGTGTTGCTCCTGATGATGCATTGTGTTGCTCCTATGATGCATGAGCTCGTTTACAACCAAGTACGGTTGGAAAGAAGAGTGATGATTCACGCACCACCAAGACGACCAACCTGCGACCGACCTGGCCATCATTAGATCGTGATGGGGCTAATCTCTGACCTATTGTTAAAGTAGAGAGGGCTTCCTCGGCTTAGCAGTACTACCAAGTTCTCGAAGCTCAGCGGCACTACATGATGTATCTTATTTATGTGCCGCCTCAATCCACTGTACGATAATACTGCCTTTTGGCAGTAAGGGCACGGCGCATGGCTTCCTGTATCAATCAAAACTGGGATGCAAGTTGCCATTTGTTTGTAGCTGATAAAGCCCTCCTCACCATAATAGCAGCACCACACCAGACTAACACGACATCAGGCTCCCATTTTTTGGCCTTTTTCTGCGATTTTGTGGTTGAAAATAGGTGTTGGATTTATGACCTAACGACAAAGTTGGCCGTGGGCTCTTTCCGTGTTCCCACCCAATTGTATTCTAGAGTAGGCCTAAGAATTTCTGAGAAGACTAAT